TTATTCAAATTCTACTCGATGAAAACTTATGAACATTGGAGCCAAACTCAAGCTCCATATCCCAATAACTTGATAACCAATCCTAAATTAATCAATATCTTACTAAAATATGTCAAAATGTGTAATTTGAACATACCTGAACGAGCCAAAATCAAACCACGCATTCTTTAAGAGCCCTTCAAAAGACTAGTATTCTTTTGGGCAGGTCCGGGATCCTCAAACAGAAATTCCACATGCACGAGGAGTAAAGCTTGGTGAATTGTTGAAGAGGAAAGCAGAGGAAGGAGTGGCTGTAAGAATTATGCTTTGGGACGATGAAACATCCTTTCCAGTCATCAAGAACAAAGGAGTTATGGGAACTCGTGATGAAGATGCCTCTGCTTATTTTAAACAGACCAAAGTAATATGCAGATTGTGCCCCAGATTACACCATAAATTTCCAACCCTTTTCACCCATCACCAAAAAACCATAACTGTAGACACTCGCAGATCTTCAAACAGCAGAGAGATCATGAGTTTTGTTGGCGGGTTAGATCTCTGTGATGGCCGATATGATACAGAGAAACACTCCTTGTTTCGAACACTCAATACTGAATCCCATGTTCTTGACTTCTATCAAACAAGCGTTGCAGGTATGGGTTTCAATCCAGTAGTGTATTTTTGGGTTCTTGTCATGTCTGATTCGTTTTAATGGGTAAAATTGACATTCCCAAATATTAATTTGCAGGAGCTAGCCTTCACAAAGGTGGACCAAGAGAGCCATGGCATGATGTTCATGCTTGTATTACTGGAGAAGCTGCTTGGGATGTATTGACCAATTTTGAACAACGGTGGACAAAGCAATGTCATCCTTCTTTGCTAGTCCCCCTTAGCTCTATAACAGAACTCTCCCACCAGCCTGCTCCTACAAGCATTGCCACTGAGAGAGAATGGAGGGTTCAAGTTTTCCGATCAATCGACCATGTATCAGCAAGCTCTTTTACAAAAAAATTCACAGTCGAACGAACGATTCATGAAGCTTATGTGGAAGCAATCAGGCGAGCCGAGAGATTTATATACATAGAGAATCAATATTTCATTGGAGGGTGTCATTTGTGGGAGGAAGACCAGCACAGTGGTTGCAGAAACTTGATCCCCGTCGAGATTGCCCTGAAAATTGCTAGCAAAATCAAAGCAAAGGAAAGGTTTGCAGTGTATGTTTTGATACCAATGTGGCCAGAAGGAGTACCAGAGAGTGAACCAGTTCAAGACATATTGCATTGGACTAGGGAGACAATGAAGATGATGTACAGATTTATAGGAGAAGCGTTACAAGAAAGCGGTGAGCCTGGCCATCCAAGAGATTATTTGAACTTTTTCTGTCTTGCTAACAGAGAAGAAGAGGGAAAAGAGGAGTTTATTCCTCCATATTCTCCTCATCCTGAAACTCAGTACTGGAATGCTCAGAAACATAGGAGGTTCATGGTTTATGTCCATTCTAAGCTCATGATAGGTATGATCACAGTTCTTCACTGACCACATTGATTACTAGGGGTCTTAATTGAATCGAGTATGTTAGGTTTGAGTTTGCTCAGATTCAAGTCCGATGTTTTTGGCCTAACTCAAGCTCTAAACGAGCTTCACTGTTGAGCTTAGATCAAACTTGACTCGACAAAAGCTTGGAAACAATTGAGCCAAGCTAAAACCGGGTTTAGGTTTAAAAATATCCATAAATTAAACCATATAACTTAATAATCAATCTTAAAATACAGACATGTGAAATCATCCATCAAATCAAATACTAAAAGTTCCCAAAAATCATATTTATCTTTTAGATAAGGGTTGTTTGATGATAAAATTAGAATTATTTATAAACATGAATCTATTAATCCAGTCTACTAGAATCGAATCAAACATTGTTTGGATTCTGCTTATTTGCATAATGAGATTAAGGATTTGATTAGATTTAATACATTTTTGCAATTTGAACAAACTAACCCAAACAGAGCCCGAGTAAATTGAATAGTTTAAGTGATTACTCATCTAAAATTCAATCTGAGGACTAGTTCTAAGGCCATACCTTTGAAAATCCTTATTCGAAATTGTCTTTTGTTCTTCAGTGGACGACTTATACATGTTGATCGGATCGGCCAACGTGAACCAGCGATCTATGGACGGGCAGCGAGACACGGAAATTGCGATAGGATGCTACCAGTTAAACAATGATGAACACAAAATCAGAAATGGTGATGTTCATTCGTACCGTATGTCACTGTGGTATGAGCACACCGGAAGAGCCGAGGAATTGTTCCGAGAGCCTCAGAGTATGGAATGTGTGCAGAGAGTTCGATCAATCGGAGATCAGATGTGGAGAATTTACGCCGGAGATGAAGTAGTAGACATGGAAGGTGTTCTTCTGGTCAATTATCCGGTGAGTGTGACGGAAGACGGTGGTGTGGAGGATGTTGTAAATGGTGGCGGTCACTTTCCCGACACGAAAACGCCAGTAAAGGGGAAGAGGTCAAAAATTCTACCGCCTGCATTCACCACATAAGCACAAAGTGGAGTGTTATCGTCTCCATTTGCTTTCAAGTTCAGCTACACTAATTTATTAATTTAAGTGGAATTTATTGTATTACGTGTGTTCCACATAAATAATTAATGTATACAAAAATTAATAAAATATATTTGATATATATATATATATATATATATTTGAATTAAATATCATCTCAAATTTATCGAATTTAATTTTTTATTATTCATATTCTATTATACAATTATGAAAATTTTGTATGCTCTCAAATTTTTTGTTATAATTAAAAATAAATATAGATATAAAAAAAATAATTAAAGTTTTATCTTTTTAGAATTTTGTGATTGAGATTTTTTAATGATATTTAAGAAATTAAATTTTTTTATATTCATTTGATTAGAATTTCACTTATAATTCTTTGAATAAAATAATATAAAATTAATTATCAATATACTAGTCATATTGGTATTAATTAGGAATTAATTATGTTAATTGGAATAATATTTAATATGCTACTATATAATATATATTATTAAGCATACTAAAACTCTAAAAAAAATTAGTTTTACTAAAAAATATATTACAATATCAATTTTTACATAAAATTTTAGTACAACTTTAAAAATTTATTGTTACTAAAGAATTATACTAATGCAATATAAAATAATATTATATATATATATATATACACAATTATTTTTTGTCTTAAAAAATTAAAAAGTTAAATTTTTCGATGAAAAAGTATATATATATATATATGCAGACATAATGTTATCTCTTCATATGAGATAAGTAATATTAGATTGATGAAATTTTTGAAAATTTTTTTAACATTTTATTGAAAATATGCTAATGCTTATTTTTTTAAGGATAATATAATCAATCGAAACATTTTATAGAAACTAATTAAATAATTAAAAAAAATATTATAAATAATTTAGAGACTTAAAGGCATAAAGACATGATGATAATTTAAATATTAAATTACGAAAAGATAGAATAATTTTTGTAATCCTTTATAAAGATTCAAAAAATTTCATGTTAAGGGTAAAATAGAGATATAGATTAGTGTCCACATCCCGTGTAATGCATATAATTTATAATCTCACTTTACAATCATCTTTACCATCAAATCTTCCCTAACCCTAATGTTTTTGAATAATTGCCTATTAGTGTGTTAGAATAATATTTTTTAAAATTTAAAATAGTTAAAAACAATGATTGAAAATTTAAATTTAAAATAATTTTAAAAAATGTTGAGAGTATTACAAAGCACACATGAAATAATTTGATTAAAATGAGATAATTAAATATTTTAAAATTCTAATAATTACATATTTAGGGAGGAAAGTCATTTCAATTGCCACCTCCTATCTGGTACAAAGTCATTTCAGTTGCCATTTGTTAATCATGATCAGCTGAGTTACATTTGCCACTTTATGTTTGGCATTGGAAGACTATCTTTCTCATCTAGTGAGTGGAACATGAAATTCCGAACAATTATTTGAGCGACGTTATTGGTATTTAAAAAATTAATATAATTTATTAATTTAATAATGTATCAAGTAATGGAGTCCCGATCAAACCAAAGTGTTTGTAAACAACTTAGATGAAAACTAGTTTATATTCATTCATTTGTAAAATAAATAAAACTAAGATTCTTTAATCAGCTGAACAAACACGCACGCACACACGCACACACACAAGTCAACCTTGATCTCTAACACAAATTGTGAACTTGATGGTGTGAAAAATAAGGAGGGGATAAAAGAATTTGAGTGTTGAATAGTGATAGGAGTAAAAACACAGGAGTTAACAATCGCAAAGACAAATAAAACAAAAAATGATATGAGTGATTCACCAAACTGAATAATTAGACTAGTCTAGTGTCAATGGAGCCTCTTTCTCCTACGTCTATTCCTAATGCCTAATGGAAAAGAAGGAGAGTGTTGACGGAGAAGAAAGAGTGTTTACAAAGGATTTGATCCCTTTCTTGTAGGACATTTTATTCTATTTATATTAGATTAAGTTTTTTGTCCTTATTCAAGATTACATGGTCCCCTCAATCCATTGAAATTATCTAGAAATATGTGTTTCTTAGAGACAATCATATTTATAGGACACGTGATTTTCTAAAAGCGGTGATGAAACATTCCCGAAGTACCTTGTTGCCCAAAATAGTATGGTTGTATGGGCTTCCTTACCTTCTCCCCTTCTTATTGTTATGGAATCTAAGCTAACTTGACTATGACCGAGCTACTTGGATGTTGCTTAGTGACTTGGGAACTGGCTTATTTATGGAGGACAACTTGGACCAGGTCCGGTCGAAATTAGCCAAACTCCAAACTTGACCATAAGTTCAAACTCAACTTGTTTAATTAGCCAAACGAAGCCGAGTCAGAATTTAAAAAACAAACATTAATAAGCAATATAAAACAAGATGTTTGGAAGTTGTTACGAACTCAAACTGATCCCGAGCATTATTTGTAACTACGAGTCGAATTCAAACAAGATTGTATTCCGCTCAGATTTGGTTCATTCAAACCCTTACAAACTTCAATGCAAAAGATGCTACTCATTAGAGTACTCATTCAAAGCCAAGGATTCCGAGAACAAATCCAAGTCCAACGTCTATCCCAAGGTTTATCCAATACAAATCACGACACTAGTGAAAACAGACAGTTTTCATGATCTTGATGTATTGATCTTCAGGTTGTCCAAAAACATTGTGTTTAATCTTCACTAAAGGGCCTACCCTTCACGAGACTCCCGCCATTGTGGGGCTTCACTCTAGAACAATAATGTACAGCATACAACAGATACATAATCTCTCCAGAACTAGCACAAGACCAAAACCACCTCGACCCTCATCATTCTGGAGCTAAATACGATGACATGAAATCGTTGAACCCATATTGCATTCGACGTGGCTTGACCTTGCGATAATTGAAACATGTTGCCCAGCCAAACTCCAGGCATTAACAAGGTAAACTTTTTTCAGGCAGAAACAGGTATCGGAATCGAGAATCAAAGGGAACAATGCCACAATTGCGGGAACTGAGGATGCTTTGCCGCCTCTTCGACATGCATTTTTCAACAAAGGCAGCTTGTTGGGATGGAAGGTAATGTGATATCCATACAGCCAACTTTTCATCATCTACAAATCCTTTGGCAAAGCTGTGTATCATTTTTGGTACCAAAAGCTTCCCTTTGCTGCTAACCCCTACTGAAGCTCGAATAAAATCATGCTGAGCTTCCTGGAGCTCGTCCTTCACATTCTTAGCTGTATAAATCCTTATCTGCAGTGTAATTTAGTTCATAGAAGTATAAACTTGCATCATAAAAAGTATTTCTAAATATAAATTGAAGTTTATATGTTACCGCAGGTGACGAGTACATTCCACAGCTTAGAGCGCAAACTACAAGCGGTTCAAAGGAATTGACAGCAAGATCTTTTTGCTCATCAGACACCTTTAGCTTGTGCAGTGCCAAAAGCAGAGCCTGACAGTACAACCATCAAAACCCAAACCAGTGTACAGAACAATGACAAAACAAAACAAAAAAAATATACTAAAACAGTTTAGTAAAAATTCAAATGTAAAGCTCATACGATTTGTGGTCTATGGACTGGTGGTTTCATCTTCAAAATTACGTATTCAATAACAGCGGCACTGAAAGAATGCCCTCCAACTGTGTATGCTGCCTGAAAGCAACGTATTAAACACAAATGCACGAGCAATCATACATTTATCAATTACAAGTATGTATTTTTTCATTTAGATTTAGTTTATGCAGTGGCTTAGGTCATGAGATGCTAACATAACAATGGCTTCTCCAACTAATTTGTCCACCATAATGAAAGGGAACCAGAACAGTTCTTCCTTTTTGTCCAGGTAAATTGTCATACAATTAATTTAGGTCGACTTTGACTCTAACCCACCTCTGATTGGGCCCCCACTACATCACCCTTCTCACCTTTAAAAATAGCAACCTCATTCTCATGCAATTTGTGGCCATGCCCTTCTTTTTCTTTTTTGAATCCAAAGTTTGGATATTTTAACTTTAGAACCCATCTATTCCTGAAAAAATGCTGGTGTGCCCAATATGTGTCCTTTCTGTGGTTCGGCATGTCAGGCACATGTCATGAGGTGCATGAAAAGTGCAAGGATATAAACAACAGCAGTGTTTTTATTGACCAGAAGAGACTCCACTAACATAATATCAGGCTCCCTTGCTTTGAACAAACAAATAAAAGTCCAATTCTCATAATGATGTAAGGCCTACAATCTCTTTAACCGTCAAGACCCAAAGAGATGATAAGAGATAAAATCCTATCAGCAACAAATCAACTTCATGATACATCTCAGGAACCCAACCAAGGTACCAAAATCCCAAGAAGAGTAGCATATGCCTACAAAGTCGAGAAAGAGTTGGCATTTAGGAGCAACCCATGCAATTGATGCCTAAATGTAGAGCTAGGGAAAACTTCCACATTACTTGTCAGGTCTTATAGATGGGTGAGACAACCCAGATAGGCAGAGGACAGTCACAATCATGTGCCTGAGTGACATTTTAACACATTGAAAGAACATGGAAAATTGAGCATCAAATGTTAGAAACCATACCTTTTGCATCAAAGAAAACAGCTTCAAGTCACTTTTTGGGACTCCATATGCCAAGTAAGCCTGTTCAAAGTTAAGAGGACAAAATATGTTAAATTCATTACTTTTTTCTTGAACACTAAATAATGGCAGACATATTGACACTTGTGTGATAGGAATAGTGATGCTAGAATAACTTGAGGTTGATTGGGGATGCATCATCCTCTCCAACTTCAATAAGATGTAGTTTTGCCCCAAATTCTACTTCTTAAGAAACCAAGTCTACCGGTTTCTGGTTTTACATTTTTCATTGGGCTTTACCACCTAGGAGTGCTTGTCAACGACTCCATCCCCCAAACCTCTTAGACAATGACTTTGTATCCTCTCACTTTTCCTTCTCTATTCCCACCATTCTTCTTTTTTTTTTCTGTTTCTCAATAGTCCAGAGAGTACTTATATAGAGACCATACACGTTAGACAAAATAAATGAATCTAACAATGGGCAGTATTATTGACCCTCCATATTTAGAGTCATCCACTCCCCGGCGTATGAAAGCTTGCTCAAGGGGTGTTGAAAGCCCGAAGTGCAGAGTCAATAATACCGTTTGAAAGACATTCTAAGGCACAGAAGTAAATTCAAGCTGACTAACTAAAAAAGGATGTCAACAAGAAACTTATTAGGAGAAAGAAAATGAGCAACCCACATGCATTATCAGTGCATTATATAAGTTGATCCAAAAAGCCAGCTTCTCACTGCTGCTCAGGTGATTAGGATTTACTTGGGCCAGTTGCTCAACAAGTGTTCTGTCCAACAAAACAGTTTTTGATCAGTTCCAAATTCACAAAGGTCATCTTGTGAGAGACACAAACAGTTGTCTTGCAGAATATGTCAAATATTTGCTTCAATGGACAATAGGACATCCTGCACCCCCCACCCCACCTGTTTCAAAAAAAAGAACCTGTAAAAGGAGATGGAAATAGACACTAAAGATACACCACACTCATAGTTACCCATATCAAACGCCATCATCGCATTAAGTAAAAACTGCACGCTGCACAACAGTACTTAATTGAATATATTCTCCAATTAGAAAAGGAAATAACAATTTGAATTGTACTGGGAGATTGTTCTTTGGTCTGGGCACAAATTTCTGAACACAACTTGACATCTGGGTAATTTTAGCTTCAAATATTAGCACTTCTTAAATTTCTCTAGGGAACCTTCATGGCTTGGAGCAATCCTAAATTTAGGATCCATTTTCCAAGCAGGAAAACTAATCAGAAACATACACAAGTTCACTCCCTATAACAACATTCCCAAACAGCTTATACAGGCTACAGCATAAGCAAGCAGACGTAGAAAAATCCCATCCATAATTTGAAGTTAACAAAGTATAATACTATTCAATTCGATTGTTATGATTATTTTCTTAGTTTGCTCGCAGCCATATGGCTTTCTCAGCTGCTGAATAAGAAATATACAATAGAGGAAGTCCTAGATAAAACCTTACCTGAACTTACGTAGTGCCCCTGCAGCGTATTCTAGTTGCTTCTTCCCAACTGACATCCAAGAAACCTCAGTTGCTGATCCATAGCTTCCAATATCTGTCCAACTTAATTTACCACGTACTCTATAGGGATCAACAGTGTCCTCTGCAGCTAACACCTCAGTATCACACTGTAAATCAATTTGTGGACTCTGCACACATGATGAAATCGTTGAGCGCTCAGATATTGACCCTGTAGACATATTGGAAAGATGTCCACGCGGAGACAAGGATGAACTGTGGCTCCCCGATGTAGATGATTTGGATGGTATAGTAGAATCCGCCAAAGAGATGAAGATATTTTTCATGCAGCGGACCATCTCTTCTGATAGTTTACAAGGGTGATCCCAGAGACCTCTAGGTTGCACCTCTCTCGTAAACCGTCCAGAATGTACAGGTTTACAATAGCTGGCATCCAACTTCACTAATACTTTTTTCTCTTGAAGAAACACAGCCGTCTCAACTGCTTCCTGATTTAGAATACAAATTATTCAATGCCTACAATAAAAAATACTGCATTTCTGCAAAAGATCTGATAATGGGAATAATTGCAAAACATACTTTATTTGTGTAAGCCTTAAAAAGATATTAGACATGATAATGAACATCAATGTAGCACTTCTATGTTAATTGTTAGACTTAGCAAATTTAGTCCCTCAGGGCTTGTCCTTCTAAATTTCTAATTGCTTCAACCTGCCACTGAACAATGATTGATTTAAAGGAAAAAGGTGTGGGGCATGATTGGTGATTTGAAAGGATTATAGTGATGAACAGTATTAATTGTTGTTGTTGTACCAAAGATGATGATCAACTTGCCACTGTCTCTTTAAGATGTGGGTTGCATTGAAACAAATTAGATTGCATTAGTGGTGAGATTATGTAGTCAAGAAGAAACGGATATATGTCATGTAGACATTATCAAGGTGCAGTATGCTGCGTTTACAGACCCAGTGGCCACTTAGTGTGGGGAAAGAGTACACACCTTAGTGTGGACAAAGAGTACATACCGGTGCCTTCGTAATGTCAGGGCAACTGCCCAGTGACTGGCATTTTGAACGTCTCCAGTGATATTCTGCAAGTCTCCGTTCATTTCTTTCCTGACTAAGTTGGAAATGCAATGAGATCAACTCCTCTTCAAGCTTTGACACACTGGACTCCAACATTTCAATATTGGACAAAAGCTCTTGAGCCTGTAGAATGATGAGAATTAGTTCAACTTTCAAAAAAAAAAGTGAAAATATAGGCTGCACAATTGAAAAAAATCTAATTGGGAGAAAATAAACAAAGGTAAAGTCTTAAGGCCCAGAAAAATCCAGAAATCTATGGCAGGTTTGAAAAGGGAATATGCAGCACATGCATGGAAAAATTGACCAAAATTCACTTCCTTCAACTTACTCCAACTCTAAGAGCAATAAATAACAGCATGATTATAAGTCAAGCTTGTTATGTTTTGAGTTTATAACTCTTGAGCTCTTTGCTTTCTTTTATTTTACTTTCAACGACTGACCACTCATACGAAAATATCTGTAATAGCTATCCAAAGAGCCGATTACAAAATGGAGTACAAAGCAAACAGCCAGAACTTTCAAGTCAATGATCTGGTCCTTATATAAGTGATCCAAGTAACAAGGGACCCTGGGGTAGGTAAGTTATTCCACACTAGGAAGGGCCTCACAGAGTAACAAAAGTGGACAAGCCAAGCCAAGCCATTCCTCATTTGTTGAATGTGGAGCACCTCAAGAAGTTTTGCCAATAACAACATTTTTTCTGCAATAACTGGTCTACCTCTGAGCACCTCATGAAGTATTACCAATACAAGCATCTTTAATTCATCTAACAGAATGCTTCATTGTTAGAAGAACCATCATTAGCTTTAGTCGATTCCAGCATAGATAACTCCCGAATCCCTATGCTCGCAAACTTGAAGTTCCTCAATGGTAATCTTGGAAACATTAATTTATTATCAATTGGTTCAAACTTCCTTTTACCAATTGCATCAAGAAAAAGAATGAATAAGGATAATACTTTTTTGGTTGCAACAAAAAGAAACCAGAACGATAGAAAGGAGAAACTGTAGTACATATTTTGTTAAATAGATGCATTAGCTTAGAGAAAATTTAAGGTAATAAAGAAAAAAATTAAAGCAAAATAGTAAGATATGTTTGAGAAGGATAAATTTAATGAGCCTCATCATTCTTATCTGTAAGCATAATTAGTAATAATTCCCAACAGTCTTAAAAAACAAGAATTACATGATGAGTTAGGCATGATGGACCCAATGATTTTATAGCATTCTGCTCCAAAGCATTTTCCAGAATGGCATGCATTTCCACTTCTTCTTGCAGCTGTTGCTTCAATCTTTGTACCTGCAGTCAAGGAGTTTCTTCAGGACGTATGGTGATACAAAGCATCCAAAAAATCCAACTGAAGGTGGTAATAATATTCTAAAACAAAAGCAATCCGACTCTTAACTATTTAACCACAATTCTCCCCATAAAAGGAAAAGATAGGCACATGCAAACACAAGCAGAGAGACAGAGACTACAAGATCCATCTTCACAATATCACATCGTTTCACTAATCAAAATTTGCAGTTCGCACATTTCCAGTGGTGTTTTTTCCCAATCACCATTTTCAAAATGACGATGCTGCAAAAAAGCTATTCACTGTTCACTTATAATCTAATTCTATTCTCAGAGCATTTCAAGCCATGTCGTCTGCATTGTGCATATGGGGCTATGCCAAACTTTCTACCCGTCAACCAATCCACTCAAAGAGAAATGCGAAAAGCATGGACCTCATTCTAAACCATTAATACAACATGAAGAAAATTTGGATGTTTTGTGCTTGCAACCATAAAATCCACCTTTAATGTATAAAGTACTTTTAAACTACCTAACAGAATCTATATATCCAAAATGGCCCAAGTGATAAGCATTTTTTCAAGTACTACCAAACAGCTTCCCTATCTTCTCTGGTTAACACATTCAGCAAAACAAGGGTTCCAAGCTGTAATATTTTCTAGATCCTCCATTGAGTCAAATACAACAGGTATAAACTTACTTTGACATCTCGAGATTGTCCTAGCAGTTAAGATAGAACCAGAGGGCATGAAGCTTTTAGAAGGAAGAACTCAGAATTTCAAGCATTTTTTTCCTAATAAATCCAGCTTTGAAAAAGCCAGTTACGTACACTGCATCCATGGTATATTACAACTAGCAGAAAAAATAGAATAAAACAAACTCCAGAGACTTTGTATTATACTCGCACACACAAAGTACAATCTCATAATCATGTCAAAGAAAACTCAAGGGAGAGAAACACATACATCTTGTTCAAGTTGCATTTTGTAAGTACTCGCACTGCTGCTTTTATAGGACGATTCACAAAAAGAGTTTCCATTATATTTGCTCACCTGAAGATATAAGTAAATTTCAATACCCACTGATGATAAAAGATACGAATAATTTTTTTTTTTTTTTTTTTTGGGGGGGGGGGGATGCACAACACAAAATGGCAAAAGAAACAGCTAAAAATGATAATCTGGGACTATCTTTAACTTAAAATTGTGAACAATACTCTCTAGAACAAGCTCAAGCCTTTGTCTATGTAAGAAGACTTCCAGAATCAGAACAATATGTGTGTGTGCACGAAGGACAAAAACCACATGTTCACTGGTACTGACCACCAAGGAGGACTTATTATCTTGAATTTCATCTAATTGGATTTCCGAATCACAATAGCTCACCCCAGATGTGTGCATTGGGAAAGAGAATCACTCCTGCACAAAAATACAAAAAAGCAGAAGTAAAAGATTAAAAAGGAAACTTCTCTGAATCTCAGTTGAAGAATTGCAATTCAACAGGTATCATGACCACATAATGGAATCTACTCACCAGCTCAAGGCAGAATGCAGCACTGCTGAGTCACACATGGTGTAAAGTCATGGGGGTTTTCAAAATCGCATCCAGAAAGTCAACAGGCACCTTGATTTCCATATCCAGAAATTATAACCATGAAAATCGAAGTCCCCTAGATACTCAAAGTACAAGCAAGAATCATGAACCCAATCTCAATGCCCAACAAATCCAAACTCTGAGACAAAAGTTGAAAGGGCAAACATTAATTACTAGTGAGATGTATACTTAGAGTAGATAAACTGTTACGACCGTGAACAACTAAGGACAAAGAAACTCATGAATGCACAGCTACCAGTCATTTTCATCATGAAATGCTAATTTCAGGGTAAGTTTGTACACTTTCTCATTAAATTCAGTGTTGGGTAACAACAAAAAACACTGAAGCTTCTGAGCAAATGATTGCCTTAAAAAAAGATGTCAAAAAATAATAACCACCAACCCCACTTCCCCCCATTCTTTTGTTTTCTTTTTGTTATAAACTAGAAAGTAAAAGGAAAAAAGCAATCATCTATAAAAAAAAAAAAAAAGAGAGGAAAAAGAGAAAGACAGAAGTAATAGAATTCACAACCTTTTGATATTGCAATACACCTCAAACCAAAAGAAAATTGTCAAAAGCGAGTTCATAGAAGGCTCATTTTCCATAGACAAACCCCTCAAAAAGAAGTATCACGAGAGAAATAGTGAGTGTAGATTCGTGAAAAGGAAAGTAAATGACTAACAACAGAAAAAGGAAAAGGAAACCCCCTAAAACAAAGGCAATATAAAAGGTAGCAGCAATAAATTGATACCAACAAACAAAGGTATGGGGCACATTGACATTAACGGCGGTGACAAATGACTGAAGAAAACGTAGAAAATGGAGTGAAATGGGGAAAAACAAGAAAGTAAATGGACGGAACCGCCTGCCTTTCAGGTTTTGATAATGACGACAAGGCTGTAGAAATTAGGGATATTCAAAGGTAATACAAATTGCAGGCGGTAATAAAATGAACCGCATTTCATTCTACCAGTTACTTTCTAATGGCCGACGGTAATAAAATGAACCACATTTCATCCTACCAGTAACTTTCTACTGAGATCATGAGAGAGAGAGAGGGAGAGAGAGAAACCTTTCTGTGTTTGAATGGAACAACTAAGAGGAGGATTGCCGATGAGACCAGTGTTAATTTCAAATCTTCTTCGTCGTTCTACTTAAACTTCTCCTCCTCCACAATGGGGTTTAGTACGTACAAGAGCGCTACCCGAAATTCCAATCTCTCTCTCCCTCTTGTTCCATCTGTGCAGATTCGGTTGTGTTTTGGGGGGGTTTATCGTATTAAAAGTGTAATGAATGAAGTAATTAGTACTGCTTCCTAAACAGCTAAACGTCAACGCATGTGAGCTGGGAGCAGTTGAGACTTTCAGACTGATGATATGTATACAAATTCAAACTCTCAGACGAAAGAAAACAAAGACCACTTCAAAATTAATCAGTATATGGTATCAGTATCAGACAAGTGAGATTCGAGCTCTTTTAAATTTTAGTGATTGGATTTATTGACTTAATTTCTATCATAATCAACTTGATTTATCCATTACTTTTCCTTAAATGAGTTTTTTTTATTATATATCAACTGTTTCAATAGGTTATCACCTTATTCTCTTCTCACGTAGCAGATTAAATTGATACAAAATCTTGTACAAAATTGTCTCTCCACGCAAGAAGATAAGTCTTAGGGGGCAGGGGTATCAATTTTTGACTCGAATCCGACACGAATCCAAAAGTTACAAGATTAGTTGATACGAGTAATAAATGGGCTATATTAAAGTTTAACACGATTAATGGGTACAATAGATAAAAAATAATTATTTAATGAGTATTATAGATAAAAAATAAAAATTTTATTTCGGCATGTAGATGATAATTCACCCCAAGAAAAAGTATGATTACAAGTGGATTGAATAGTTCATCGAAAGTTTAGAATGTGAAAAAGATGAAAATTCGTCAACTTTACTTATACTTAGGGTATTAGGGGTGTCAATTCATGTCGTGTTATATGATTCGCGTATCGTTTCATTATTATTTTATGTCGTGTTTATATATAGTCAGTATGTTCTAACTTCTAAATGTCAAACATTAGTCTAAATTATTTATTATGTGTATTTAATAATTGTGTCGTATCGAATTTGAGTCAACATGTTTATACATGTATAAAACAAGCCCAGTTTCATTTTGAAAACGAGCTTTAGCTCAAGTTTTTAAGCTGAAAACACAATATCAATGGGTTCGGTTGATCAAAACGTAACACTGCCTACATCTAACCTTTCCCAAGACCCTCACAATAATACGAACTGCATTCAATGGGCTTCCATTTTTAAAATTTAGGCAGAGCCAATAGCTTTCTAGATTTCTAAAAATTAAACAGAGAACTATCATGTCAAAGGCTATTAAATAGCCCATTTTAAATATATACATCAAAACAGAAAACATCCCCTTACAAGAGAAACACACAAGCTTACTATCTCCCAAACAACTACTGGCTAGCTATATCCATTCTTCTTATCTTACCCCATCATTCTCATATATCTACTCTTGGTCGAAAACTAGAAGGCCCTTCCCCACTGATAGCTCCTCTACTAGTGCTTGCATCTCCATAATCCGAGTCCCTCCATGTTGGTTCACCATTTTGGGACACAATCTCTTGTTCTTCATCCACTATCGAATCATGGATTGGGTCAATCTCGTCGACTGAGATGTTATTGTTCCCACCCGAGACAAAATTGCGCAACTGCAGATTATAATGAACAAATGCCAGATCTCTCAATCTCTGTTCCTCTACACAATTCGTACCCTCGGTGAGCAGCTTCTCTGCCAGACTCCTCCTCAAGTCATATTTTGAAGCACCATTACTTGTCTGGTTTAAGATTCGAATGGCAAGCTTTTGCAGTTCAGGAGAGTGTCCTCCATATTTGGACCACCACATTTCTGCAGATAAAGTATATCAGTTACTGAAATCCATCTGAATACATGATAGATTCAAAGGAGCTGAAGATGTAAACAATCAATCAAGAAGAAAAAATAATAATGTCTTATAACCTGGAGAAATATTCAATCGTCGGTCAATGGCATTTGCTTGGAAAAAAGCACCCTTGGCTGCTCGATATTCTTCAAATTGTAGAGTCATCAGATCTTGAACACGCCGATCTTCTGCCATACGGACTATACAGCACAATAGACCACTAGCTACTTCCGCATCAATGCAGGGATCACCAGAATAGTAGAGAATTGGGTTCAAAAAGTAACCTCCTGCATGAAGAGGGCTATGGAGATACTTGTTCCAAATCTCATCTATCGCTTTCCAAAGTGGAATGTACTGAGATTTCTTGTTTTCAAATTCCTCTCTAATTGTTTCCTTGGCCTGATCCATTGTTTCATATATATAACCAAGTTTTTGACTATCACCATCATTTATCAAATCCAAAGCACGCACTAGCGGAATAGTTGCCTTCAAAACCACCACAGCCCCGGTCCAGAAAGAGCGATCTGCCACCAAACCAACTACTCTTTTTCCCTCTCTTGTAGAAGCCCAGGTCGAATTGTTCCAATCAGAGGAATTAAACATATTTTTTAAGTTCTTCTTTTCTGACAAAATATTCTCGAGAGTTAAGAAAGGCAATGCCGATTTAATCTTGCAGGGCTTAACTAGGTCACAGCCATTAGTATGCTTTCTCAGTAGCTTTATCATTGTAGCAGAGCTTTGGATAAATTTTGTAATGGTTTTGGCATTCTCCAATATCCCTCTCATACGACCCATCGTACATATTTTATCCAACATCAGCTCTATGCAATATGATGCACTGACTGTCCAAAAGAATGACCTGTGTTTTTCCATTAATTGATTTCCTACGGCCTCCATACAGGCTGATGTAGAATATGTGTTGATTTGTACCACATTTTTAACCCCAACCTCCTCAAGAATTTCATCAAAGAACAATTGCAATCTGTCAACATCTCCAGCAAAAGCTGAGATATCAGATGACTGAAGATAAATTGCACCCCGTGGGCAGTCCACTAGAATATTAACTAGGTTTCGACCCTTTCCATCAACCCATCCATCTAATAAGATGCTGCAACCTGTACTTGCCCATGAATTCCTGACCTCTTTCACATACTGTTGCATCTCTTCCACTTCATTTTGAAGGATCCAGCCTGTCAACTCCTGACAACTGGGAATCTTATACCCAATATTACCGCAACCAAGAGTGGCATTTATCATATTCTGGAAGGTAGGAGATTTGGCAACACAAACATCAATGCCTGTTTCATAAAAGAATCTGCCAATAGATTTCTGGACCAGCCCTAGTGATGGATCTTCTATGCCAGTGAAGGCTCCTCCTGAACCTATTCTTCCTTTGGGAAAAGAAACTGATTCCGTCCCACTGTTTTCTGATAGAGAGTCCATTTTGACACACTTATTACTCCTGGACCCAGCTGTTTGAGTGATTTCCAGCTTGCTATGATCACCATTCATGTCATAGCACCAATTCCTTTTCCAAGGCAGATTTGGGTGGTACAGCTCCCCTACTTCCTTACTCAAATTTCCTCTTTTCATTTCAAGTAACTTGTTTCGTATTGACTCCTTTACATATGCTGGAACTTCCAGACAAGGAGTTACATCTCCCCTTATGCCTCCTAAGTGGCACTTAAGGCGGCTGAAGCCACTAACAACTTTACCACAATAATTGCATTTGACTCTCTTCTTCTGCTCATCAAGAGCAATACCATGGTCATGAACATTAATAGGGACTTCATCTGCAGCCATGTTCTTGATCAAACAAGGCTAACCCTATCGACCAATGACCCCCCTTCCCCACTTTTTGGTTTGAACCACCCAAAACTCACCAAATAATGCTAGAAGGACCATCAGACATTGTCAGACAAAAGAGATTCATTATTGACCTAGACATAAATATCTTGAAGTTTCCCACGAGTCAAGCACGCCTTCCAAGCTTGGCCTGCAACACAGCTATGAGCTCTACAAGTTTGTTAGAAAAATTAGAATGTAACTACTGAGCAATAAGCTCCATTGATAGTAACAAAAATAGGAAATCTAACAATAAAGAGATCTTGTATCCTGGGTGAAAAATCAGGCTACCCTTAAGTGGTTGAGAGACTCTCCACTCATTACGAATTGGTTCTGAGTTGGATATCCGTTATATGGTATTAGTGTTGAGCATTGGGTGGCTAGTGGTCTATGTCTCTCATGCAAGTTCATCTATTGGTTTGTTATTCCATGTGTGAGCCCATGTCCCACATGAGGCAATATGCTGGTTTTATCCAGTTCATGCATTAGCATTAGCATTAGCCATGACCAGGTAATGCATTAGACATATTTCTACACTAGAAGAAAATGAATATATTCAACATGAAATTTACAAAACATGAAACAGAAAATGTTGAAAACCGTAAACCCATATATATGTGATCTCCATGAAAAATAAGTGAGCCTATTCAATTTGAATTCATTAATTTAATACCTACTGGATAACATATGTTAACATGGACTTACCCGAACCCCATATAACCTTCACCGCCGCCATCATCTCCATACCCAATTCGAATTCAAATTCAGCACTAAATTAATATCCAAATACTCACACACCCCTACCTATATCTAGAGAGAGAGAGTGTATGAGAGAAAATATCTCGGTGGTTCAAGGGGTATTTGCATAAAAGGTCAATCGAATTCTCAGGAGATCTAAATTTCCGGATGGAAATATTAATTTTGTTGATGCAAGATTTCTTTTGTGACATGGTCTTCTATTAGACTTACCAATCGAAAGGATAGAGTAATACCAAAATTAATTTCTAATGAAATAGTCAAAAATATGATAGCTCATGGTTTAAAGCCAAACAGGATTTATGTAGTCAATCCCAAAAGTGTTTAAACAAGACTTTGCTGAGTTAATTCAAGATATATGGGTCTTCTGTTACCATTTTTCAAAATTAGTGCCACCATGTTATTTGGTAAATGTCTATTAACATTGTGTTGTATCGTACCTCTTTTTTTTTTTTTTTTTTTTTGGGGGGGGGGTGTTCAATCTCAACATGACATGTGAATATTTTATCCAAAGATAATTCCACCACACAAATATCATACCCACCTCATTGAACTCTCTCATATATAACTACTATTAAGCTCCATTATTTGAAAAATCCCACCCCAATCTATTTGTGCCCCCATCAAAGCTAAGTCCACCCCAATCCACACACCATGTTGCACATCTCAATCATGGATGATTCCTACCTTATATCTTTCTACCCTTAGTTTTCTTTCCCTGCCCTATTTCACACAACCAGTGTGTTTTTAATCAAATTTATTTGTTGTTTGGATGAAATACAACCAAGACATCAGTAAATCACCTCTTCCTTCTTCATATAATGGTTGAGATTCTGTGATTTTATTTAGAGAACATACAGTCCAGTTGAGTATGCATATGGGCAAATTTATCATCCAAACTTGATTCAGCAGTAGCACGGGATTTGGATCACCTCCGATACATGTTTTTACAGTTTCACTTAATAATAGTATAGTCATTATGAATCTTAGTGAGATCCATTATACCCATGGTAAAATATCATTTACCAGTACATGGTTGGTAATCAACCATAAAATGATTAAAGAACTAGTCACTAGTGGCAGAGCTGTGGTATGGCCAAGGGGGGCATGTCCCCCCCCCCCCCCCCCCCCTTCTCTCTCAAGTTTTTGAAATTACGTTATATACCTCCTAAATTGCATTTTCATTTCACTACTAATATCTTTTATAGTTTCTAAAATTATAATTCATACCCTAAAATTATGATATTGATTTTCTATTAACCTTTCACTATTGATTTGAGTATATTGCTCACTTAACCATTCAAAATAGCCTCGTAAATTATTATTATCAAAAAGTTTACAATTTGTACAAAATACCATAAATTTGAATGATTAATGGTGCAACAAATTCAAATTAATAATTGATCGGTAAAGTAAAATCAAGATTATAATTTAGAAATAGAAAGTATAACTCACCCATTCTGCTCCCTAGAAACCCTACGTTGGGACAGATTAAATACAAATAACTACGCAATGATTTGTTATTTGATGTAAACAAAATCCATAAGAAGTTCACCAAACAACTAACAAATTTATTTAATAAGATTAATTTCCATTATTTTATTGAAATAAAAAAATACTACGATACTCAGATAAAAGTTTATTTTGATAGATTCTATATACCAAAAAATTTAATATGAATGACAATTTATTGAATGACCCTCTATTAAACAATTTTTTTTAGATACACCATTATTTGGCCCCACCTCAGGAAAGAATCCTGGCTCCACCCCTGCTAGTCACCAAATGACTGTACAAAATGAGGGTGGACTAAAACAAATCAAAGAGCGACCGAACAAACAATCCGGTGAAAGAAAAACAAGTAACATAAAAGGGCAAAAATCAGAAAAATTGAAGATGAAGATAGGGTTTTACCTGATCAGTTGAGCAGTGAACAGATAAGAAGACCACCCTTGGATATCCTTGAGAAAGGGAGAAAGATTAACAACTTTCAGTGAAAGAGCAAACGAACAAACAATCCAGAAGGAGAAAAAACAAGTAACATAAAAGGCCCAAAATCAGAAAAAACGAAGATGAAGATAGGGTTTTACCTAATCAATTGAGCAGTGAACAGAGATGAAGACCACCCTTGGATATCCTTGACGCAGAATCGAAAATGGAGGATGATGATTTGCACCTTTCAAAACAACAACAACAAAAACAATTGATTCCCACCATAGAGGGACGAAGAAGAAGAAAAGGGGGGCAGAGGCTATGAATTGGATCGAGGGTATGTTCTGTGTTCAAGTTTCCACTGATATACCAGGATATATATAGGAGGAAGGAAGTAATAAGGCACTCACAAGGGATAGGGATAGGGATAGAGACGAAGATTATGACGATGATGGTAAAAACGATAAATTTCAAGCCTTTGTTTACTCTCTCTCTCTCTCTCTCTCCATTAATATCACTGTGTTAGATTACCAGTATCTGCCATTTCTGTGTGTAGTGTGTAGTGTGTGCTGGCAAAGGAAGATGAGACCTGAGACTCGTAACGCCTCCACTTTCTCTCTCCTCCTTCAACTGCTCCGACGCGTGCTGTGCTCTGCTAGAATGGAGTTCAGAGAGATGCTTTGGATGTTATCTGGAATTTGGAAGCCACCCACCAACCCAATTCACGCGCTTACTGTAACTCGTGTTACACACTGTCTCTCTCTAAGTCGGATCCGACTGTTCGTACCATCGCCGGACTAGAAAGGGGTATCCAGTCCTACCCTGTTGTAATTCCAAGGATATTGTCCTCCATGCTCGTTCTAATCAAATTTGTCCCCTTTTTTGAATAAGTTAAAAAAAATTATTTAAATTCAACTAGTTTAAAAAATTATTTAAATTCAAATAATTTAAAAAATCAATCGAATTCAAAATAAGTCAAACTCAAGTTGAGCTGGAGTAACTCAATTATTTTATACATAAATAAATCAAAATTTACGAATTTGAGTTGATCTTTTTATGTTTGTTTTTTAAACGAATATTAAAAATTGTTTAAACTTGATTTGTTTAAAACAAAGAGTCAAACTTGAGTCGAGTTCTATTTTAATCGAGTTAGAATAATCAAATTCGACTCAATTATCAATCTTACGGGCTATCAAAACACCCTACTTAGGCCGTTAGTCCAGACTAAGGACAACTCTACTTGTGTGTACGAATTGGATTATATTTATGAAATCTTTCTAAACCTAGCTTTTGTGCATGAGATTCAAACAAAAATCTTATCCACTCACGTATTTGGTAGGTGACATAAATGCATGTAGTCTATATATTTAGTCAAGTCATATTATTCAATTTATTAAAATGAACAAATTTAAGAATAATTTTTTAGGTAAAACAAATTTTTTATTTTCAAATCAATCTCTCACTTTTGAAATCCACCCTCCATGGATTTCATCAATTCCTCATTTATCGGGCCACGGATTTGAGCTCAACGTTTATCCCATTTACAAAAGTTAATCTAAATCAAGAATTTGTGGGCCACCGATTATGTAACCCAATTCAACTAGGGGGTTATCCCCCTTTATCCCCTGGGATATGAATTTTAATCTACTATTTATTATGAATCGGGATTCATTTGTCCTATAAATTCCAAACCTCAAATTTTGAACCCAATATGATTTTTGAAGGTACATTAGACTATTTTCATAAAATCCACCCTTTAACTCCCATCCAAACCCACATTCTAAGCATGCTTAATGAGTTGTGCCCTAAGAAGCACAGATACGAACACAGCGATACGGCAAAATCCCAAAATGTAGGATACAGGTATGGCGAAGATACGATTAATTAAAATAATTATATATATTTTTATATATATAACAACAACAACATTAATAATAACAAACAAGACAAAACAAACATTACTTAAATTGAAATAGATCAAAATTCAAAAAATATATATAATTTTCAAAACCAGCAGGTAGCAACACACTAGCACAAAAGGCAGCAACACAGATGACCAAAAAAAAAACTAGCTAGGAAAGCATAACAAAAAAAGAGAAGATCGAAGCACAACAAAAAAAGAAGACTAGCGAGCAGCAAGCAACACAGCACCGAAAGACAACAAACTAGAAAAGCAATTTTCAGTTTTTAAAACTAGTTGGCAGCAGCACACTAGCACAGAAAGGCAGCAACACAGATGACCAAGACCAAAAAAAAATCCCAAAGGCAGCAAGCAACACAACACTGGACTAAAATAAAATCTCCAAATTTTAAAAACCCTAAAAATCCCCAATCAAATTAACCTAATTAATTTTTTGAAAGTCCACACTCCACACAGACTAGAAGATGAAGAGGTAAGAGCAGCAGGAGATCTAAAAAAAAAAATAGAAGCAAGAAGAATATCGTAGTCACAAAGCGCGATTGCAGGCGCAGATGAGTCGCCCTTCCTCTTCCCTCTCCTTCTTCTTATCCTCCTCTGGTTCTCTCGAGCTCCTCCTCTTCTCTCCTCTCCGCTCTCTCTGTCGAACACACTGAATGTCGATTGGAGTCGGTTCATAAATCAACGACGCTTTAATTTTTTTTTTTTCAAGCCAAAACGACGTAACTTTGACCTTTTTTTTTTTTTTTTCGTTTTGACCCACCTAAGTTTTTAAAATAACAAAAGTCCCCCGCCGTATCCCCCACGTATCCGAGACGTATCCGACCAAAAAATATGACAACCACTGTTCAGGACACTTCTACAAGTGTCGGACACGTATCCGACCATCGGACATGCGTATCTGTGTCGGACACTGCCACGGCGATCCCCCCACGAGTATCCGTGTTTTCTAGATTATGCCCAATTAAGAACCACGAGGTGGGTTATTCGTTAATCCGTAAAAATTGGAAGTTAAGATTGACCCATCAGGCAGGCCATGAGCCCGGGTATTACCAGCCCAACCTTATCGAGCCTTAATTTATCCTTATTGCTCTTTTGATGGATATACCACAAAATTAAGAGCAAAATAGTAGCTATCCGTTCCAATTCTATTGTGTGCTAGTTTCACTAATTCCATTTGGTTGGGAAGTGTTTAGTTTCACTAGTTATGTGAAACTGACCCCATTGACCAAACCAGGTCAATACAGTCCAATTCTTTGTTGCTTGAACAAATAGAACATGCTTGTTTTCGGTTTTAGAGTGGTATAAGTATATGTACTAATAACAGGTCATTAGTCTAATGATACTTCTTGTCTTATGAAAGATTTGTCATCTTGAAGTCAAGAGTTCAAACCTCCTCCTCCCCCCTTCCCCCTCGCAATAAATAAATAAATAAAAAGAACAAACAAAAATAGTCAAAAAAAAATTTATATCGCCTTTATCATGTCTTTATCGGTCCAGTTATAGCATTTAAAATTAATATTGGTCGGGATGCTACAGTGTAAATACACCCTTGCAAAAGACATTATTCAATACCACTAAGGAGGTGGTATTAAAGAAAAATAAGGTAGAAAACTAACGTATGGTACTAGATTAATAAATTATGGTATTAACATTTCAAATGCCTGATGTTCAATATCAAGACAAGGGCATTAAAGTCAATCGATATAAAATAAAATATTTACTTTTGTTGTGGGGATCACAATGTAATTACAATATTAACCTTTCAATTGTCTAATAATCTAATTCAAATGAAAGATATTTATGTCAATTATCAAATGCAATCATTACTTTTATGTGAGACTAATGTGCATTACAAAAATCACAAGCCAACACATGATATAAAATTGAAAAAGATATTAAATTATGCTTTCCATACCAGTGAGGTTGAAGAGGGTTGAAAATAAGACTCCAATCCCATCCATCCTTTTCTACAAAACAAACATGCCCTAATAGTCTATGGGACTAACTTCCATTTGGCAAAAGTAGAAAATTCACAAAGAAGACATTTTCCACATAAAACATAGCTGTGTTGCCAAACAAAAAAGTAAAGAAACAGAACATCATCACCTTTCTGGAAGCCCTAGTTACTATCAAAGAGAACAATAGTACTATACTTGACAAGCCAAATGATGTGGCAGAATGTTTCTATAAACATTGATGGTAAGCTAAAGAGAACATGTGAATGACATATAAACAGAGGGAGGGTAACTATAGGCCCCAGATGGGAGCCCTTTTGCATCAACCAGCTAATAGACGATGTAAAATGAAAAAATATACAACTGGGATTTGCAAGCCAAAGCTGTAGATGCAGCAAATCAAATAACACTAGTTCTTCAAAACAACCTGTCATGATTTCACATGACACAAATCAAGCAATTCACAGTACTATTTACTAGTCTGCAATAGATTTACTAATTTACAAGAGCCAGCCATCCTCAAAATGTAGACATGTAGGGATAGTTGAGATTCCTTATCGCTGGTGATGAAGCAGTCATTTTTGACAATCTCCAACGACAGTCTCTGTGGAAGCTGATTCCAACTTGGCTTCAAGACGGACTTTCTTTTGGCATGATTGCTGTTCTGAATCACTACCATCAGTAACCCTATGCTTTAATGGTAGAGCCAATAAGGAGTCAGCATTCGACTTGGCTGGTTGGGAGGGGGAGGACGAGGCACAGGCTGATGGAGATGCAGGGTGTCGTTCAGAATCCTGGAGTGAGCTTGTCAGCCATGACAATTTTTCAGGGGAGATTAAGGCACTGCCGGCTTTCTGTTGTTCCTCTAAGATCTTTTGCAAGTACCTTGCATGTTCCTCTATGCGTAGCTGAAGGACCCTTTGTACCTGACAAAGAAAATAGAAAGAAAGGGGCAAAGTGAATGACAGAGAGAGAGCAATCCAAAACTCATTCCTTCCCCTCTTTCTCCCTATAAATTCAACAACAATTTCATACCAAAGAAACTGGAAAAATCCACCTCAAAGGGATATGAAGGAAAGAGCTTGACAGATCAAGCTGGTGGAGGTAGATTACTAGAAAAAATTTAGTTAGATTAAAATTCTATTGTTGCTGTGTTTAGTGGGAAAGTTGGGATGGCTAATGGAAAACAGCAACCTAATGATCACAGCAGCCCACAATATGAATGAGAGATGGGGGGAAAAGTTTTTGTAATTCAAGATGGTGCATCCAGGAGTAAACTATCACGGGCGAATTGGATGGGAAGATAATAAGAGGGAGAGAATGTGACAGTAAGTTGTACAGTTTCAATATGCTAACTCTTAAAGGGAAAAGCATGCCTCAAGTTGTTCGTGTAGCTGTTTCTGAACATCCATTTGCATGCGCAGAGCTTCAGTGACTTGAATGTTCCTGTGACAGGAAAGAAGAATAAACAATTCATATTCTGCATGACACAACTAAGAAAAAGAAAAGAAGCCAAAAAAATAAAAATGAAGCCCCACTAGAATAGAATCGAACATCATAAACAGATTTAAAGTAATTAGGAACGAAAAGAAACAAGTTTGACCCTTTTCTCGTTCCATCACTTTCGTTACTACTTGAAATGGTCTTCTTTTCTTCACAGCCAGAAGCTTTTTTCTCTGAAAGACAAAACAAAAGAGTGGCAAAACTCAAATACAGTTGCTACGCCTCTATGCAACAAGTTAAGAGCATCATTAGATCATTCTACATAGAGATCTAAAACTAAAAGGAAAAAAATAACCAAAACTCACAACTAAGGGACATGGAAATAGGCAAATCAACATAATGCCAACTGGATTGCAGTTCCTCATCCAACAAAGGCTGAAAATTAACATAGACACAACACAACTTCTCACTCTCATAGGTGGCCCTCGAGTTCATTTGCGTTTAGTTTAAGATGGTATGGATATCAAGAGCAGTTTTTCCAATTTGCCGGACCCGATTATATGCTCTAGTTGACCATGGCCTATAGGAACCAGGCTATCTACCACTTTTAACCCTTTGCATAGGTTTGTGCACAGATTTACATTCAATAATCCCAAGGACTTTGACACGTCTTCACTTGCAATCTTTCAGAACATAGAACTTATGAGACTATCAGGCAACACTATTTTTCATTTAATATTCATTAAGGACTCCGTGAAATAGTAGTTTGAACTATAATTTTGACTATGATAGCCATGAGCACAAATGTATTCCTCACCTTCTTTTCTATCTGGCATATACTTCGCAAGTCGGTATTTCTGCAGAAGACAGATGCATGATCCTGTTACTCAAACACACTAATAATTTCTATTCAAACCACCAGATGATTTAAAACTCTACCTGTAAGTGGCTTTTCACGTGATAGATGGTCAGACCTTCAACATTCATAAGCTTCAAAACACACTTTGGGGTTGCCTCTATATATTAAAGTAAAACAGATTAGGCTTGTAGAATTTAAAAGAAAAATGTCATTAACTTCCAAACATAAATTATCTAACTCGGTTACTGGTTAAACGAAGTCAATTTACAGAAAAAAAGTTTAAGTGGAAAAACTTGTCTTCCTCCTAACAGCTAGGGGACATAGTCTCACTGGCCAACAGAGAACAGTCTAGAGCACTTACTTTCAGCCCCCTCAAGTTTGTTGACAGCGTCCATAAAACGCTCATGAAGCTCAGGTGTCCATCTCATTCTTGGCTTATGTGCTGCAGCAGGCCCAGGAGAGGGTTGACTTGACAGAACATCAACATGGGGAGTGATACAGAGGGAATGCAGGTTGGATGCCACTCCAATGGCTGCTTTTGGTGAATCTTGATGTCTTTCATATATTTCCTAAGTAGACCACACGAGATTGAAATCATGGACTATTGAGTAAAAGATTGCAACGCATACCGTTAGAAACTCGTTCCAGACCACATGTGATAAACCAACCAAACTTAATACGCTAACTGTTGAGCTTGACTCAAATGAAACTAAAATAAAACACCAATGTACTTGAATGCAATTAAGATTAATACAAGTATTTTGTGAGATGATGCCAAACTTACACTTCATTTGTATGAGTAAACCAACTTGATCTTTTTCAATATCTATTTCTATATGGAAAGTAACTCATTAGTCAGCTCAGTCAGGTCACCCATTTGCAGCCCTAGCCATTGATGACATACAGTATATATGAACAGAATTAGACTAATTACTCCTTATCACTCCCCCCTTCAGATTGTCTACTCTAAGTCGAACCAGACAGAAAAATCCAAAGCATCTCATTCATTCCCTCCTTCAGGACCAGCAGTCCATCAAAGGAAAATCGACATACCAAACAACCAGGTTAGTGTAGGATCATACCCCATAATCATGTTCCCCTTTATGAAGTACAAGAAGTGCTTGGAATTAAAACTCAAAATTACAGTAACAAATAAAAAAGGAATTCCAGCATATTAACTTGATTGTGGTGATTAAATGTCAGCCAAAATATACTTACATCAAGCCGGGGATTTTCTCCATTGTCAACTATAGCTATATCAAGTTCATCAGACAAGAATTGTAACTCCAATTGCTCTGAAAGCGCTAAACTACCAGTTGCACAATCCATATCATGCATGGTACCATCTGAAACATCTCCAGACAAATTCAGAAAGTTGTTCATGAGATTCTCTTTATGCACCTCGTCAGATTGATTACTTGAATCCTCATAAACAGGACTCTCCTGCTTATATGCTGGAGGATGTGGAAGAAATGGCAGATTTCCAAGCTGTCGACAAGTTTCAGAGCTTGATGGAGATGAAGAGTATAAACTAGTACAGAACATAGAAGAACGAGAAAAGGAACCGTAAGTCACAGAGCTATCAGGTCCAGATTTTATAGATATCTTCTGGGGTAGGATTGTAGATGTATGCATTAAATTGGAGGAATTATGCGGCTGGGTGTGCATATTAGCTGATTGACATGAAGACGAACATTCACCAGCCAAGCTTTCTGATTCAGTGCTCGATAAATTATGAAATGGGGATAAGACAGTACAATAGGACTGTATCACTCCTTTGGCAGATTCACTCTGTTTCATTGACACTCTCAATAAAACTGAGAACTGCAGAATATGGAAAATATAATGAAATCCAAGGGCATAACAAATTTATGACATTCTGTCGCGATGTCAATCTAGGAGAAGTTTAAATCTCCCACTACAATCATGTCAAGGTATCAAATTCCAATCCCCGTAAAGAATGCTTCAATAGCTGTTCATATAGAGCAAAGTAGGTGTTCTGATGGTGCCTCATTCAGTTACCAAAGCCCCTAAATGAATTGGGCTTAATGCTTTCTTATAGCTAGCAAACCTCAAATTAACACGTGGTCATGGAAATAGGAGGCTTTGGGTTAAACCAGTCACATTATGGTGTGTCCAAGAGACACAGCAAATCATCCTCTGGTTTAAGACCTGTAAAATAGACACCCGCCAAAATTAGTGTTGTAGCATGGGGTAAAACTACAAGGAATCATAACGATATAAAATTAATCCAGATATACTGTTTGATAATATACTGTCAGATCTAGCCTTTCAGACTCGTTCATGCAGCATACAAATGGCTTGGCACGTACACTGCCTAGCATATATCACTTTTGGAGGCTCCAATGGAACTAACCTGACTGAGCAATTATGACATAAAAAGTGATATTTAGTCATTTCATAATTTGATTTTACTTGTCTTTACTTCTTTTGTTCGCAACAGAAAATCTCAGGTTTCTTTCACCTGTTTGTTTAGGTAAAGAGGAATCTTTCAACTATTATCAGTTCAGAAATAGTTGAGTCTTATCGCTGTTACCTTAATATTTTCATTGTTGAAAAGAGAACTAGAAGTATTAATGACCTCATAGACTAAATTTTAACTTCTTATATTCAATATGTCAATGAATCAGTTAATTACTGAGCATTTTCTAATCACATCACAGTACGATTGTAAAGAAAATAATATTTTTTGTACCCGCAATACAACTTTTATGCATAGAGTACCATCAGAGAATGAAAACTCCTATGTGTGCAAAATTTGAATAGCTCTTAGATGTGACATTTTTCTTTTTAGTTTTTACTTAGGCACTCTTTTGCCCCAGATAAAAGGGCAGCATTTGTACAAGACACTATTAACTTAAGCTTCGAGATTTTAAGGGAAATGGGATTTTACAATGTCCCTCATTCTCTCCATACTGAAATTCACAAAGGCCAAATATACCCGAATCCTTTGGTTGACTTTTTGGATATAGTTCTAACATGTACCTAACTTTAATGGCTTACCTTGAATTCTTCTAACCCTTTAGAAGCTATATTAACATCAAATGTCAAATGTCTGTCAAGGATCAAGTACCTTACTTAACAACCTTTTGGCAGATATTTTTGCCTAAAAAGCAGAAAATAGTTATACAACAGTACATGTCCCCTTCCATCAAATCACTAAATATAAGCACCCTATCACACAATAAACATAATCCTAGGTTTAGTTCAATAATCGGGTGTTCAGGCATTTATCAGGCATTTAACAATTCTCGTTATGATAAAAATGTTTACACTAAACCGGACATTTACAATTGAAAAATGATGTGTATGATGAAGCCAACTTTTACAACTCAACCTGATGAGGATGAGTATCTAGCACTAGTAATTAAACCATTTTTGGGTTTGTTTGTTTGTTGCCCCCACTCATTCTTACTTGTAAAGAAATCCTATTTTTTAAAAAAAACCACTGTCTCAATTTTCAATAATAACGAGTTCAACCTTACTGCTTACTGAGTTTTATTCACACAAACAATTTTTCAAATGCTCAGAATACATCATGTAAGTCAAAGTTCCACCGAGATAGCGAGATAAAGATTGCAGGTTACATGAAGTAAAAACACAAACTAATATCAGTATCAATTAATAATAACAACAATCAGCTTGATTTACACGTCAAATTGCCGAAACTTGAGAATCCCACCAATATTTTCGTTCACATCATGGACAAAATACCTAGTACCCATACAAACCCAGAAAGAAGAAAATTTACCAGGAAAATTCAAACACCACGTTAAACGAAGAAAAAAATGAAACAGAAAATCCACTCACAGAGAAGCACACACCAATTGAAATCTACTCAATTAAGTCATACCCAAAAGAGGCAACTATGGAGAATGCATACCATCTAAATCTAAGCTCAACTCTGTATGTCGACGAGAGAGAGAGAGAGAGAGAGAGAGAGAGATACCTCATCTGAGAAATAGAGAGCTTAGCTGGTGGATTTGCAGAGGGGAGTTTGATTGGTTAGATTTTATTCCGACGGCGGATGGGGGAAGGGATTCCGAAAACAAGGATGTCAACCTTTTTTGTTTTGCATTGAATCTAAAACATAAATTTATTAAGCATAATTAAATATGGAGGAGATTTTGAGAGGGTTGCACACGCACACCATTGGTTTTTCAAATTCTCTCTCTCCTTGCTCTAACCTTATGCACTCAACTCACCTGCCCCCCACTGTTACCTCACTTCTCTATTGTAAATAGTCCTTGCAATTATGTACAAGGTAAAATATACATTTAGTCATCAACATATCTCTCAGGTGATTATCAATCATTCATTTATATGTATTTGATTCTTATGTTCCGTTCGATACAGTAAAAAAATGAAAGGATGAAAATTTTGAATGGTAGATAAAACATGCATGTTTAGTAAAAAAAAAAAATAGTATGAATGAAAAAATAGATTGATGAACTTTCTTTCAAATTTATCAAAATCAATCCCTCTAAAATTGAAAAGAAAATGGATAAAAAATTAATTATTTGTATTAAAATATATTTTATTTGTCTATATATCATTTGATATATATATATAAATTTCACCTTACCAAACACAAAAAAAAAAAAAAATTATCATTTTTTATTTTTTATCTATCCAATCAAACACAAAAAAATGAAAGTATATCATTCATGCTTTCTTTCCTTGGAGGATAAATAATGTATTCTTTCTATTTTTTCATCGCCCTTACTTTCCAACTTTCTTACCAAATAGAGCATTAAAATTTCTAAATTTTATCTATGTGGTATAATCCTAAACGTTCATCAAAAAATCGTCAATGCCTCTAGTCACACGTCAATCATATGAGACTAAATAGACAAATTATGACATTTACGGACCAAAGAGACACAAATTAAAAACTTTAGGGATCAAATAAATACAAAATTAAGAATTACGCGATTGATGCGTGATTAGAACCGTCACGACTTTTTTATGAACATTTAAGATTGGACCACGTAGATACAAATTAAGAACATTATAGAATAAATAGACACAATTGAAAGATTGAAGACCAAATAGATACTCAACGCATACTTTGGAGACTAAAAGTATATTTTACCCTAATATCCATAATGGACTTGACTACCATACCCAAAAAAAAATTTGATATCGTACTTCTAAAATTTATTACTTTAATGAGTGTTTTTATAATTTTTATAGATTATTTTATAATAAAAAATTTATCATTTTTGTGGGTATTTTTATTGCGGTTGTAAATGTTTTTACTATTATTGTAATAACTATTTTTATCACTTTTTTTCAATACAAAAAAAAATATATTAATTTTATTAATAATTTATTATATTTGTAAGTATTTTTTATCTTTTACTATTGTTATGGTACCCAAAAAACGAAGTGTCAAAATATAATTTTTAAGGTCGGCAAAATATTTTTTTATATTTTGCTCTAGGTAACCCAACAATAATATTTTTTGCAAAAGATCTTTCTCGTGATGTTGTATGGGACTCCCTAGAGAACCATGAGGGAGCTATAGGTATCAATACAAGATTCTTTGTCCAATTGAAAATCTCAATCTATTTCATCTTAAAATTGGTAGAAAAATAAAGAATCTTGCCTTTTTTTGTCCAAATATAGAAATTTAATAGTCTAATTAAGAAGTACTTTAAAAGTTTGGGTTGTTGGTGGTTGAGCTATGAGGACATCCACAAGTTGTGTGTAACAAACATCATCAAACTTTGCTCGCAACTTTTTTAGCTGTTGTTATTTAATTGTCTCCACGATCTTTTTCAATGATAGAACCATACGGACTTAGAACAATACCAAGGTGGTTTCATTAATGTGGTCAATCCAAGGATTTCTAATGGAACTAGGGTTTAACATCAATAATAATTTATAGGGTTAATTACAAAAAAAAATTCTTTAAGTTTGTGTCATGTTGCAATCGATTCCCTAAGATTTAAATTTCGATAATTTGTCTCTTTAATGTTTGAATGATTTTTAATTAACTATACGACAACCTCTCAAACAAGCACAGACAATCTCCAAATATCTCATACCACCTTCGACAGTCCTTACCCCTATCAAACAAACAAGTAAATCCAAGAAATATATGAATTTTATTTGATCTAAAAATCAAACAAACATACAAATACAACCAAGATCGATCTAAAAATCAGTCCCCTTCGACTGCACCACCAAAAATTTCTTCCTCTTTCCTCTTGCTCCGACCAGTCAACTAGGACATAACTACACAGATTCTCTCTACCCCCCTCCCCCCCAATAAAAGGTATATTTTTTTTTTGGGGGTTAGGACTACTGCTAAGGATAGGTTTCGATTTTCGCTGAAAGAGAGACGAAAAGGTAGTTGTTCGGGAATGGGGAGTTCTAGTTTCACTAGAAGGGTAGGGAGTTTAGTATCACCAGTTGAAGGAAGAGTGAAAGTTCACTGGAGGAAAGGAGGAATTTCAATTTGTTTGGAGGGGGTGGGTTTCGATTTTCAGTGGTGGGGGAGGGCTTGGGTTTCACCAGAGGAAATCGTTGACTTTTTTGTGAGCGTTGTTGGTTTTTTTTTTTTTTTTTTTTAAAATTTTTACACAAAAATATTAAGATAAGAGTAATTGTGAGCTTTTAATTAATTTTAGATCCCGTGATACATTCATTCCTGATAAATTTCCTTCATTTCTAACGGTAGTCTGCTAATAGTAAGATTGGTTCCAAAAAAAAAAAAACTGACAGTAAGAATTAATTAAAAATTCAGGGAAAAAATTGTCGAAATTGAAATCTAATGGAGTCAATTGTAACCTAACCAAAACTTAAAAAAGGCATTTTATAATTAATCCTAATTTATATATTAAATAACTTAAAAATCAAGTATAAATGATTGAACCAATTGGGTCTGAGTCATTAGAGCCAAATTGATTTGATAAGAATCTTAAGGTGAGCAATCATCATTTCTTTTTCTTTTGCTTCCGTAATCATTCTATTAGTATTAGATTAGCATACATAGTGGTGTGACAGAGACTATACTATACATAATTTTTTATTCAATGCAAACCCCCCACCCCCTCCTCTCTCGACCCCCACCAGTGCCCATACAAGGAAAAACGTCGCACTCCAATTTTGCAGCTGGGCGGTCAATTTGATCCCCCCCGTCATTTCTCTTGTCAAGTCACAAACAGTTCACAATGCATGAGGCTTTGATTTGACATTAAACTGAATTTGACTGCATGATTTGTATGAGCAAAATATTTTATGATTAATTAAAATTATAATTATCGTTGAGCTTTATATAACAATTAACGTAAATTTAAACACATGTAATAAAAAGAAATAAAATAAATTATAATTATAATTTCATCATGTAATTTAGACTCTTTTAATTAATTATAAATTCAATTTTAAAATATATAACGTTATTGGTCATAAATTCTTTGAATTTTAATTCATATTCTTAATAAATAAATATTATAACTTTCTATATAATAAGGCTCACTACTTATTAAATAGTTGTGATGGAAAAAATCAGCAAAAGTTATTTGTAATTTTTTTCCTTATGTTAGTATAATAATATAATTGGTCCCACTTATATATATTTAAAATTAAAATTATTTCTTAGTAATATCATATTATTTAATTCTTGTTTTCTATCTTATTTTAAAAATCAGCTTAGCATTACTTATAAATAATTGTGTTAATGTTGGTGTGGGCCCATCGCATATGATTTCTATGTGCAATTATTTGCAACTTGGCAATGACCTTTTGATTGTTTGATCAGCCACAAACACCAACGGTCCTAAACAACAACCAACTATGTACTCCTTCACGTGATCTTTGTCCTCTGTTCTTATTTGTCTGCATTATTGCGGAGAAACCGAGCATCAAAGTACAATAAAATAAGAATAATTTTGAGAGAAATTATTTATCATTATTGTTGGATGAGTTTATTTAAAATTATTGGATAAATTTATTAAAATCTGTCTTATTTTATATTATAGATATAGACTATAAGTAACTCGTGTTTAAAAGCACGGTATAATGTGATTTTATAAATGATTTTGAGAGTAATGTTGGTTATCGTTGGATGAGTCTATTTCAAATTGTCGGAAAAATTTATTAAAGTATACCCAGTTTTATATTATAAATTGCCAAGAATAATAGATATCATTTTTGTTCATTATCTTTCTTACACCATCTGATGTAATATAATAAGAGTCATTAAATATTTAATAAACTCTATACGACCTACTAATCTAACATCTATATTAAGATGGTGAACAAAAATAGTGAGTGTGTAGCATTATTGTATTGCCAATACCCTCTATGCCTTATATTTTTATGAAATAGAAGTTACAATTCAAAAAATAATTAAACTTATAATTTCAAAAAATAAATTTACTATTTTGTATGTTAAATTACACATTTTAAATGTGAAGTTACAACTAATGAGAGGGTATTAATGATCATATATTTCATCATCAATCATGAAATTATCTCAACTAGGTAAAATTTCACATTCAAAAGATCTAATTTGACCTCAAAAAATAATAAATTTTGATACAGTATCGATTTTTTTTTTTTTTGTTACAGAACTTTTGAACTTCTATAATATAAAACAGGACAGATTTTAATAAGTTCATCTAACGATCTCAAATAGACTCATCTAACGACCACTGATATATCTATTAAAATTATTTACATTGGATGTGATTTTCAAAGCTGAGTGACAATTCCTCAATACCTAAAGATTATTAACTCCCCGGATACTAGTTCTTGCAGGACTGTCTATGAGCCCATAAGCTAAAGCCAGCTTCTCGATATGGTAAAGTGATGATCCCTCATGTAATTTCTCTTCATATACACATCCTTGCATTTCATTCACAATTGAGTAAACTTTTGCAGACGGAGGATTGAATAATCTCCCAAAGTAGATTCATGAATACCACCATGTAGTTCTTTCAGACTGCACCATCACCACCTTCCTGTTTTTGCATTTGTACTTGGAAGAAGCCCATAATCCTATTCATTCAGCTTGTCTATATTAGATGTTAAATTGCATATTCTGCTAATTGGACATTGTTGTGTGCTGCACTTTTTCTCAACAAGGAATCCATTGATGTATTGGGTTTCATTTAGCTACCATTTATCATTTTTGTTCCATTATTTATCATTTTTGTTGAAGCTTTCATTATTTATCATTTTTGTTTGGATCCTTTAAA